GAGAGCTACATAAAGGGGTGACTCGAATGTCTTCCACTCCTTTTTTCTTTGCATTATAATATCCATCGGATTACATTGTTTAATGTGTGAGAATCCGGAGACACAAATCTGCCCTCTTGAAAATTATAATAATCCGAAACATATAAAAATAAACAAATGGGTGTGTTTTACCTGCTCCGTTTCTCAATTGATTCCTTTCTTTTTCTTTCCCTCTCTGAGTCTCATTCAGCAGATTAAAGAATTCTGCCCAACTAAATATCGACTGAGAACAAAAATAAAAGACAAAAATTGTAATGTACAAAAAGTAACATGCAAATAATTATGTCTTTGAAATCCATTTTTTTTATTAAAAAAACAAAAAACTGTAATGGTTCATTTGTTTAACTTTTAAGATGTGGTGATAATTTCTTCCATTTATTATCAAAATAATTGAAATGGAATTTTGCAGGACATTTATAGTATTTGCTTGAAAGAGAGCGTCTTTGTCAATAATATGCTTTCCGACTTTCAATTGCTAACAAGTTTTGTGAGCCACAGTGCTCACAACAAGCATAAAGAACCTAGAGATTTATAAAAATGCTCCTAGAAAAATTTGAATACTTTAAAAGTAAAAAGCCGTTTTCTGTTTTTTTTTTTTTTTCAAACAAGTGATGTGAAACTACATGAACTTTAAGGAATCCAAATTGAAAAGCTGTATGGAGATTGTAAACGAAGGGGTGGAAAGGAGTGAAAAAAGCGAGGTTAGCGTCTCGTGAGCAAGTTTGATAAACGACAATCGCATTACCTGCCAAAACTCCACCTCGCTCGTGCCTATGCCCAAGACTTTTTGGGAACTTGCACATATCACTAAGAATAATACTAAAATACAATCGCTTTTTATTATGATACTTAATTATTAAAACAATTAATAATAACAATAACAATATTAGTGATATCTGCTTCATTTATTAGTCATGAGCACCAAATGTCAATGGCTTTGGTCACAAGCGAAGGCCTCTGATATGTATTCAGGATCGGCATCGGCATAGCAACAACAGTAATAATGGAAATTTGGAAATGTCCCTTGCACATACAATACAACCACGGACTCGTACATTATTATTATTCATTGTGCTTATGGACCACATTTTATTTATTTTTATTTATTTTTTTCCGTTTCATCTCCATACGGTAATAATACTTCCAGGTGAAATTAATGTCCAGATTATCACCCCAAAAAAAAAAAACAGGGGAAGGGAATGAATAAGTAAACAGGGTTTAGCTTTCTCTGGCAAAAGAGGATATGGCACCTAAAAAAGTTCTTGGAACGCATCAAAGTGAACCCAGGTTTTAGTTTGGTCCTGAAAAGTGCAGCTACATTAAAATTATAACCTTTTTGAAAGGATTTCTATCAACTTCAACTGTACAACGTCACGAGGCTCGTCTCCCTTTTTCATTTTCAGAACTTTCCCATCCGAACACGTACCTCAGAAACAACGCCTTTAATTTTTTTTCCCTGTATGAGTTTCCAGGAATAATTGCTGTAGATGAGAGGGGTTGTTGAATGTGATTATGGGAGGATTTTCTACAAAGTTGACTTTATTTACGTACCGTTTGACCTTTAGCTGTAAAGATGTAAAAAGATGTGAAGGACCACAATTATTATTACTGGCACTGGAAAAATGGGTGAAAATGAAAAAAAAAAAATCTAAAAGACCTGCAGCATCTGAAATCTTTTAGATTCTTCTGGGAGAGAACAGTGACTGAGCGCTCTGAAGCACCCCAAAACCGGAACGAATGAATGAACTAGAGAGAAGGTGAAACGACTTAAGCATGATTAACATTAATTAACATTAAGTGGTTATATACGTTTATCAACCATTAGTTGGGTTTGGTGCCCATTTAATCAACATCCTTGACTTTGCTTTGAAACGTACTCGTCACGAAGGAATGAGGAGTAATTAATTAGATGGATAAGATATGCCATGTTGCTGCATAATCACTGCTAAATCGTGAGCCATAATCAGTCAGGAGAGGACCAATCAAGAAAGTCAGATCCGTGTTTATTTAATCTTGTAAATAAATAAATATGTTTAAAGTAGTAATGAAGAGTGAGGAGAGCAGAAGAATAAGTAGAAAAAAGTACTGGGAGGAAAAAGAATATATCGGTTAGCTGTATGCAATGAGACAAAGCTTTATGGCTCATCGATCATGGCGGTCAAAGGCATCAAGCGATGCGTGCGCTTTGGAGAATCATGATTTTCAATGCCACCGACTGATAAAGGCGTCTCTATCACTTAGATTATGCTTTTATCTCCCTTTTTTTTCAATTAAGATGTTCCATTAAGTATTAACCTACCTATAGTTAGTTTTGGCTCTTCCTCAATAGTGCTCAATGCTGGTAAATACAGTTCCTCTAAGAGTTAAGAGAGGCATGGAAATTTTAAGGAGAAAAATCTGCACAGATGCTGTTAAAGATAAGGGGGTATATTTCCCGAGTGATTAAATTTTAGGAAAAAACAGAGTGGACATGATGCGGTTTTGGCACATTTCACACTGGCCATTGGGGAAATCTGAACAAAGGCATATTCCAATACTTTCGAGAGTCAACTTTACAATGAGCAAAAAGGTCAAATTTTGGAGCATCCAAGAGGAAAAGAGATGCCAAGGACAGCATCAAGAGTTATTTTATTCGTGTCACGAAGAAGATAATTTATAAAAGCAGTAGTAGCATTTTCAATACGTTGTGAATTGTGATTCAGATTTGGGGGAGTAGAAACAAAGAGGGCATGGGTGTCTGTGCTGCTCTCTTTGTTAGCAAAAAATATTCGCCAAGACCCAAAATCACAGATGGGATATGAGAACCCACGTAATGAGGGCGACATCTTTTTGTCTTTTAATACAGAAACGGGACACAAGATCGTGGGTGTGAGCAAAGGGCAAGCTTATTGTCAAACGCCACTTATTACTCCGAAGAAAGACATGAGGACTAGGGTCCATAATAATGATACTAATAATAATACTTATTCCTATAGCTCGGCTTCATCAATTTTGGTTATGCCAACACGTTTGCTGGGGACGGGGGAGGGGTGGGGTCGTTTCGTTTCAGCTTCATGTTGCTATACTGGCCCCTATTTATATAAGTTGTGAAGTGCGTTACATTGCACAATGCACACATCCAACCTTCGAATTTGTAGAGTAAAACGGAGAAGAAAATCAACCCCAGCTTCTTTTTCTGCCTTGCCTTTCCACCTTTCTCCTCTTTTGTCCGAATACGATGGCCATGGTTGCTTAGTTACATGAAACAGCTTACCAACCGAGTCAGTCAAACTCACGAGATTAAAACTCCATAGCCAAATAGGGAAAAAGGGCAGGGCCAAGGACTACAACTTTCAGTAGGATTAGGATGCAAATAAGCAGACCGAAACAATTAGATTTAGCCCTTTCAAACTCATCCTCCAGTTGTCGTCGAAGGAGCGTAGCTGAGAATATCGGGATAGGACGCAAATTCGTATCCCCACGCAGCAACGTCTGTACGTATCGGAGCCATTAATGGACATATTTTAAGAATAGAACCGCTTATGCAGCCATCAATCACAATTTTATTTTGGCAAGAATCCCATCGTATTTTTAGCCAAGAAAAGAAGCCATAGCTGCACACACCTGTCTGAAAGCATGAGTTTGACGACCAAGGCTCCAGAAGAACAGAACATCTCCCACGAAACTTACCCGTGATCAGTGTGGGCAAAATTCGGGTAAATGAATTTAATAAGGATGCGATTCTCTAATCAAGAAATGAGAGATGCAGTTGCTCAGGTCAAGAAACGGCTAAAATCACATGTCTGTCCACCGGAAGCAAGACGTCTAAGATGTTTAGATATCTTTAAAAGTGTTTTTTAAAAATATTTTTTTTGTATAAATCAAGACGAATTCCTTTACATATTTATTTCGTATAACATACAATCACTTCTAAAATCATGATTTGATTTCATCCAAACACTTTTTTAATGTATAACAACTTCGATAAAAAGAGCTCAATAAGAACACATCCAACTGTGTGCGCCACAGCATTCCGTTCCGTCCTCTTGTCAACAAAAAAAACGGATAATGACGGCCCAACGGCGGTGCGAATGCTACAGAAAAGAAAACTCGATTAAATATATCGCCAAATGCCAGTAGCAACTTCAACGCAACTGCTCGGAGACAAACAGATCCTTAATGTTCCGATATGCCCCAATGACAAATTGAACACTTTGAAACAACGTTATATCAAATAACCACAACCAAAAACAATCAAAACAATAGCCAACAGGTATTCAAATCATGGCAATGAACCATGACAATCACGTTATTGTTTGTTACTTTCTAGTCACACGTCACACGATGATATCAGCCCCTCTGGCATCGTTTGTTAAATCTTATCTCTACACAAGATCCAACTTTTTAGATCTCTGACTCTGTACCTAGATATCTCTCAGACTTTTCAAATCTCAATACTTGAGAATTTTAGGATTTCGCGCATTAAACACTTACACATAGCTTCGGTCTTAAATCCATTACAAGATAACCCAAAATAGAAAAAGCAGGCCATAGGCGCCCTCTCTCAGCCACGTTTAACTTAAAACACTGCCCCAACTTTTGGAAGGCCAGCAGTATTAGATCCACGATAGTGTTAGAAGGCCAAAACTATCAAATAAAACAAAAGCATCCTCCCCAACAGCCAACTGAATTGATTTTGTATCTGAACTCATAACCTCAACATATATCAAACACAGGGACAATAGTTATGAGTGAAGAGAAGCATCCTCTACCGATGAAGAAATAACACTCTAAACAAAATCAATGTGCACATAGATTCAACTATGCAACATGCAATCAGATAAAGTAAGACACATTATTAAATATATTTCTTTAAAAAATACCTAAGGCTCATATGACGTGGACTAAAGACAAATATACCTTGCTACGACAGAGTCCAACCCACAGCCTCCAACTTTGGAAGAACACATAAGAGCGCATAATAGGGTAAATAAGTATTATTTAAACAGCCTCAAACTTCAAAACACACACATAGATAAGTAATAAATAGCATTCATGCACCAAAATAATGCAAGCCAAACAAGGAAATCCATTTACAGAATGACCCATCGGTGTCCTTCAACTAGCACAAACATTCAAGCAACAGCTAGCTAGCAAGTGAATCTTTGCCAATCAACCCATAACACGGATATTCCCCAGTGAGGTCCTTGTTGCCGTGACATTGATCATTAAAATCACTAGAGGACGCCTGAAAAAGTCAAGAAGCCAACATATATGAAGACATGTTGATAAAAAGGGAAGCATCAAGCTATATCCATTTGACTTCAGTTTAGTGCATGCCTAGATTTTGTCAAGCTTTTCTGCCTTAACTACAGGGTTGGCTTTGGCTATAGCATCCTGACCAACGGTCCGATAATCAAAAGGGCAATTGTGTTTGTCAGAATAGCGATGTGTTGGACAGAAAATGTTCCCACATTTGCAGCTAAAACCAGTTAATCCAACACGCTTCCGGCAAGTTGTACATCTGCTGGGACCAGCCTTGACTTTCATCTCTAAACTCTCACTAGAGGATGAATCCTGACAAATTTCTGCATGTATTGTCTTGACCTCCATAGTTCCGATTTGTACATCAGTAGAACATGCAGTTGCAGCCTCTTTCCCACTGCCGCTGCTAGAGCTGCCATTCACAATGTTTTCAACTGATGATGCAGCTAGTTTGGCCTGATCCTGCTTCAGCAGCATATCCTTGTAACATTTGGAGCACATATTCATGGTAGCAGCTCTGCCAAAGAAGCCACAATTGTTAATACAAAGAATGGTGCGATCTGGTGCCTGGCATCCTGTCTGATCGTGAGACTCCATTAATTTTTTTTTTTACCACCTGCAAGTAAAGCACCTCACCATCTTTTAAGAAGATATACAAAAGCAAAAGAAAGATATTCCCTCACAATATGCAGTAAGTAAGAACTATGCCTCACAACAAGGGTTTACATTAACACAGCAAAATAAACTTGTACGCAACGGATAGCAGCATAAAGCGAACATAAATATCCCCACAAAAACTACAACTAAATGCGTTATCACCCTCAAACGCGGACGTGTAGCCCCAGCCACCCTCCAAATTCTTTCCCTTCGCTTAATGCTGATCGTTGGCCCAAAACAAAATTCGATTATAAGAATTACAGTACTGTAAAATTACACACAGACGCATACGCTAAAGAACTCAATAAACAAGCAGTATTTGCTCAAAATTGAAACACGCAAACAAAACTTATCAATCAAGATAAGCAAGCCTCTGTCGAAGAGTTACATAAGCGAAGTATACAACCAGGTTGGCAGAAATTTCCGACCGAATAAGGGAAGTGAGAAAACCCATCGACAACTTCGTTTTCTGTCGTTATAGGGTATACCCGAGAACCAAAATGCCATAAAATTGACCCCAGCCAAAAACCAGAATTAAGAAACCCGAAATACCAACTCATCCAAAATGATTAAACTGGGAAAGAGGGGGCTTCCACCAGTAGGCCAATCGATCAGTAGACAAAAATTAATTAAATTACCAAACAGTAGAGAGCAGTAAATCAGAAAAAGGGAAAAATCAATGGAAACATGACACTCCCACCAGTCTACTAGGGTTCCACGATTCACACAATCAGACAAGGTAATCAAGTCTCCAGATATTAGCAGATGAATAAGAAGATAAATTTGATAAAACGCCACAAAATAAAAGATCAAATACCTATAAAGGGGAATGAAAATAGTTATGGAAATCGAACACCAGACACCAGAACCACGCCAAACGCAGCAGCAGAGGCAGAGGCAGAGGCAACGGAGCGACAAAAAGAGAAAAACGTAGAAGGGTCGGCACTCCCTGTTTTGAATCGACTCTTATCTGCCAGTTGCGTAGTCGGTGATTATTGATAAAACGCCCTTCTAATTGCTCTTAATTACTGGTTTGCCGCCTTTTTCTCTTTTCTTTTTACCTTTCTTTTAATATTCACCCAGTTCAAATATACTCTTTTTGTCTTATTTATAGAATGGGAAAAAGATTTTTTTTTGTCATATTTATAACTTATTTTATTAAATTTTCAGTGTGAATATACTATTTTATTCTTTATTTGTTATGATATAATTAGCTATCTTTTTTAAAATATGTGTATATTAAATATGGGCAAAATTAAAAAAATTGTTATATTTTAATAGAATAGTTAATGTATTTTAAGGTTTTTTTGTCTATATAAACTATTTTGAAAATACTTTATAAATAGGACTAGAAGAGTAAATAATATTTTTTTTCCAACTGTTAAATATAAATGACAAGTGTTTACATCTCGGTACGTACAAAATTCCAGGGCCAAAAAAAATTAATTCCAGCTCAAAAAAATCAAGGGTAAGAAAAAAAAATCATCAATTCCATTAAATCATAAAACATGCATCTGGCTGTTTTAAAATTATTAATTAAAATACTGCTCCTGATCAAAATTCTCTCCATATCTTCGGTGACTCATCAAAGTCAAAAAAATTATGTTGCACACGCCACCCTTCTATTTTTCAGGTTTTTTTTTTCCCTATCCAACCATTATTTTTATCGCAAGAAATTACCCGTTAAAAATTTAAAAATCACATAAGCGCCTGCCTTGCCCCAAAAAAAAAAGTACTTATATTTTCAAACTTTTTATATGATATTATAAATTGATTAATTTTACTAACATATTTATTTAGTAAACAAAGTATTTTATATGTAGAGTTAATTCAATAAATGACAGCACGTAAATCTGAAGTGTCTTGGAGTGAGAATGTTGATTCTCGAATATTTGTGTTTTAATGCGATTTCACAATAAATTAATTTACGAAAAAAATTAAAAAATTGCATGTTCCGGGATTGGGTAGGATAATGAAGTTTTAAAATAATTAAATTTGAGCAGATTGATGCATTCTGGAGATCTTACTTGATATGCAAGGTTTAAATGAAATGAAGAACGGAATGTGAGACAATAAGTAATCTGTAGATTAAGTTACAAAAACAATATCATCCTAATAAAAATAAATAAGCTACTTACAGCGTGGAAGTCAGGAGACATGAAAATCCATGATGCAACTTGTTTTCTTAAAAAGCACACAATACGATAAAAGGGGTGTCTGGGATCATGTTTGGACCCCCAAACGTACATCTTAAATAGGCAGAGTTTTATCATGTTTGGACCTAGGTTTTCTCAATCTGGCTTCTGAGGCTGAAATGGGCTTCTGGAAGAAGCAATCTGAAAGAGTTTTTTTTTGGATGATGAGGGGCGGTGAAAAATACTGTTAGAAAATTTATGTGGGTGTTAAAATTTTTTACTCACATGACCCTGATCCTGTATGAATTTTTCCTCACCTCACTTAAAACAAAAACACGAAACCATGGCTCAAGGGTACCTATCTCAAAGAAGGAGTCGCTGAAACCAAAATCCCCCTCCTTTCGTGCTTCTCCTATGTCACTCTAGGCTTATCCTTCCCCGGACCTCAAATCCCAGAGATTTCCTTTTCTCACGAATCAAATGGTCACATTATATGTATAATTTTTTTATAACAATAAATTAAATTTCCTTATTTTTAATAATTTTATTTTCATTACTTCTTTTAAAATAGTCACATTATATATATAATTTTTTTCTAATAATAAATTAAATTTCTTTACTTTTAATAATTTTATTTTCCTTACTTCTTAAAAAATAATCACATTATATATATTTAATATTGGATATATACTATTTAATAAAATTCATGTCCTTTTAAGTTATTTTGCATCTAACATCCAAACAAGTTTCAGCTTCACTGACTTTTTTTCAAAATCTAATCCAAATAAATCACATTACCCTATCTGACTTTTACTCAATCTGACTTTGTAAAAGTCAGATTGAAAAAAAGTCACTTCTGCCACCGCTATCCCAAACACATCCAAAGTCTATTTAAAGAGCGGCCGTGGAGTATATACGCCGAATAGTTTATGTGGAGGCATGTATGATCATTGCGTCTTTGCTGCAACATTCAACTTTCCACGCCTCCTCTTCTTCCTAATTCTCCTGTATTTAGTTCATTGTATTCTGCTTTTAGCCATGCATGGCTAATTTTTTAAGATTTTTTGGGATTAGCTTGAACTCATCAAAGAACCAGTGCCGGCAATATTGAAGCCAAGTGTGTGATTTCTGTAGTCTGGCCAACTGCGATGAACATATGTTTGAGTGTTCTGATAAGAGTCTGGATCAAGAGAAGTGGGATAGACGGGGTGACTTGAAGCATTGCGGGGTATTACTCGTTGAGAGTATTGGTGAGTTTTTCCAGAACAGAACAATATAATGCAGAAGAAATGGCTCTGAGCAGTCAGCCAGCATACCCGACACCCATGTTCTGTTTTGGTGGTTTTATAATATAATACGAGAAGGGTAAAGTAAAATGCAGGGTGAATGAAGGCAGGCATAAATAGAAGAGTGACGTGTGAAGCAAGGGATTGAGGATTTGACTCTGAAAAGAATGATTTGCTTGATTGCATAGATGTAAGTGGGGAGTATGATGGGTGAAGCTTTTCTTTCCTGAGAAGGCTTTCAATTTGATGGCAGAAGCAACCTCAGCTCGGTTCAATGATTATTGGTTGGGAGAGCTTAAACCAACATCGTTCTGTGTGATGTTTGCTTCTGCGAATCCTTTCTTCACTCCAGTAACTTTATGAGACTGTTAGGGTTAGTGACACAGCCGCAAACTAGTTCTTAATTAACTCCATCCATGTATTCAAGTCAAAACTTACGGAGCCAGCTGAAATTGATTTTAAAGAAAAAGTCGTTCCGTGCTTTTCTTTGTAAACTGTGAAAGTAAAAAGATCATTTTTAGTAACTCTGTTTAGATTTTTTTTTAGGGGGAAGTGGCGTGCTTATGAAAAAGGCGGCCCATTTAGAGTTGGGATTAGAATGCGCAATTACTCATGAGCTTCCTTAATTAACAACTCGGCCTGTTAGACAGCGCCACATTGGGCAGCCATTGGTTTAGGCCTTCAAAAATCTATCTGGGCTCACTTAAGGTTCATATGCCCAGATACTAATCGTCCTCCAGTTCAATTTAAGAAGTACAGAAGAATTGGTTACTCGAAGTGGCGAGTGCTTTGATTTCTCTGCTTGGGTGGATCACCAACTTCTGAAATTCCCATCTGTACACACAATTTAATATAGGGTCACTTAAAGAGTCGTTGTTCAATAACGTCGATGATTTTTTTTTTTTTGTGGGAACGCAACACTCATCAATCAGTTATATGTTCAATAACAGTCGAAGAGATAATTATTTTTTTTCCTTGGAATGCGTAAGCTAAAAAGTCATTTGTCAAATATGCTGCAATGGACAAGGGTGACCGGAAAATAGTATAAACAGAACCTGAGAAGAAAATAGTTGGTGAGTGCCACTTTAACCAGGGAGGATCACCCGTTAATACTATTTTACTTATTCCCTGTGAAACAAAATATGGACAATAAAGCGTTATAACCTGGGGTATAATTATACGATTTAATTTAATTTAACTATCAAACAACATATTAATGATGTACGTTGCAGAATTTCTCATCCGTACCTATACCGTGACTTTACATAGAAAAATATAATCAGGGGGTTCTTGAGAAGGTTGGTTGAACAGAAGAATTAGGTCCAGATTTGACACCACGACTACCAAATCAACAGGTAATCTGGCTCATCAAACATTAATGCAAATAATGATAGCATCACTTACTCCTAAACAAACCGATCAGCTGCAAAACCACTCAATTTTGGAAACATAATTACGACATGTTTGTTGACCATTATTGCATTAGCAAAATCATCCTCCATTTTATATCCCCCTCAAAATTTGAAGTCAGCGAAAGATTTTCAGATCAACTATCCATACGATAAAAAAATTTAAAAAAAAAAAAAATAGAAATGCCTTTCCGCCGGAGAAGGCAAAAGTTTGAGATGTTAAACCATTATCACTGCACTGGACCCACGCTGGTGGGTGGCCTCACAAGAAAACTCAGGACCAAATAACTTTATGAACAGTATTAGGATTGGGTCGTTCCAATTTTGGATGATTTTATTTTAAGGTGCAGGGACCATGACATCTCAACTTCGTGGAAGGAACATCCCCTCTTGCGAGCGAAGATCTCCCATGAATCTGTAAATGCAAGCAAGGATATGGATTTGCCTTTTTCTTTAGTTTTCCACACCTGTCACACTTCCTGTTTCTCTCTCACTTTACTTCCCCATTTTCTTTTCTTTTTAGGTGGGAGCTATGATGCGCTCGAACTTAAATTAAAAAAATAGCAAAAGTATTATAAATGTGACAATATGAATATGACATTGGGCTTTACTATAATTGAGTGACTTTGTTGTCTTTCCACCTGTCTCTCTCTGTCTTCCCCTCTTGGTTCTTTTTGGGGTAAGTCATCAAGCTTTCATTTTTTTTTTCTCGGCAGCGCAATATTCTGCTTTTGCCTAGTCAAGCCTTGCCTCTCTCTCCTCAGAAGGTTGTTTAGGATCATAACTACGGAATTTAGCTTTACTCGCATTTATGCCCCTTCTGCATGTGAAACCCTTTAATAGGTGCAGGAACCTATTCAGGAGTGTCCGAACTCGTTCTCATGCGATAGTTGCTTTCCCTAATTAATGCTCTTCAATCGACCGGTTGCCTTTAATTAGCCCGTCTGGATTGAACACAGAGCTAGAGGACAAGGTTGGTGAGCCTTCGCCACAGAATTGTTGCTCTGCTGCGTCAATTGGATTTGCAGCAATTAGGATCTGCAGCTTCACCGTCTGTCTGCCCGCTTTTGGAGCTTTCCATGGAGACCGATAATGGTGACCCCAGGTCCAAGATGGAAGACTATGAAGTGATTGAGCAAATTGGCAGAGGGGCATTCGGCTCCGCTTACCTTGTTCTCCATAACTCTGAGAATAAGAAGTAAGACACTCTTCCCACAAATTCTATCCTCATGGTTGCTACTTTGTAAATGGTAAACCATGCATACAATGGGTCGGAGTTCCTTTTTTCTTTTTGTGGTAAAAAAATGTATGCCTTAACAATGGAAATTCGAAGATTATTTTTTTTTAAAGCTCTGTGTGTTTAATTACACCTGCTCGATTAAATAGAATTCTCTGTAAGCTGCAATTTTTACTTCAAATGCTGTTCATTTTCGGTAGGTATGTGTTGAAGAAGATTCGCTTGACCAAGCAAACCGAGAAATTCAAGCGAACAGCGCACCAAGAGGTTGGTGTAACACCCTTCCAACCGATACATTCATCTTTAGTGTACACTATACAACCTTTTGAATTTATGCTGTTTTAATATATTTCCTTGTGTCTTGCATGAGAGAAAAAAAAAAAAAACTGTCGTTCACATCCGTTAGCTACCACCTTTGGGTCATATTAGTGGCATAAATGAGCCACACTTTTCAGTAATATTCAATTTTTCTGAATACCATTTTTTCTTCTATGACTCTACGAACATGCCTTTGCTGACTGACAATGCTATCTTCATTCTAGAAGGAAGTCGTCTGCATATGTTGTGTATCTCGCAAGCAGTATCCCTTCTGCCCTGCTAGTTATACAAAAAACATGATATTAGCCAATGCTGTTTCAGTTTAATTTGATTTGATGCAATCTTGAAGACGTATGTCACATATCATTGCCTTTTAGAGTAACGATACTGATCAGACTTCCAGAGAAGAGAGATTTGTCTAGTGCAGTTTCTTATGCGTGCACAACCGTGGCACCTTTTTTTTGGCCAAGGTGGCAATGCTTAATAATATGGCATTTTGTGTCAAGTAGACAAGTATGACTCAAAGCAAGGTTTTTAATAACTTTAAAACAGATTTCTTTAGAATGATTTCTCAGACTTTGTCTTAAGACAAGTCTGAAGCCATTTTTTAATGTTATTCTTACCTGCTTACATGCATTGGTTATTCTATCTCTGTCACAGATGAACCTGATTGCAAAACTAAATAACCCATATATTGTGGAGTACAAAGATGCTTGGGTAGAGAAGGTAAATACACAATCTTTCTTTTGTATTAACAGTTGACTAAATAGGTCTGGAATTTTAAAGTTGCACGCCTGATCGTTCTGATGGTTACGAGCTTATGACTCTTTAATGGCCTCTTTCTGAGATTCTCATGTTTTGCAGGGGGAGTATATATGCATTGTAACTGGCTATTGTGAAGGAGGTGACATGTAAGTAATATCTGTCGTCACCCCGGGGGGGGGGGGAACTGTTGGTAAAACTGAAGCTTTCTGGCTTGAAATAAGATTATTAATGTATCGTTTACAATCATAGAGCATGTCTATCCAATAAATTTTGTTCCTTTATGACAGTACTATTAAATATTCTCTCCCCTAATAAATTGTAAGGAAAAAGGAAGATTTTATTAGAAATTAACAAGTAAACTTTTGACCTGAAAGCTTAAGCCATTGGGTTCCTTAAGTGAAAGCCTACGAGACCTGAAATATGCACAAAAGATTAATATTATTCTTGTACTGAAAAAACATGGAATTTCAGGCTGAAATTTCAATTTTTAGACAGATGGCAACAAGGATTCAGAAAAAGGCAGAAAGTCAGAAACTTTTAGTTGTGGGGTGTGCGTGGATGTTTTGCATTTGATAGATGTTAAGGAGACTTTTCAAAGGAATCCTCGTTAATTGAGTTTGAATATGCTGGGGAAAAACACTTCATATCATTAATTATATTAATCATAGTTGAGGGTTAAGATGACATAGCCTAGCCCAAGGATTGATTTTGTTGGTGTCATTTTTGTATAAGAAAGGCATATATCATCTGTTATACATTTATGTACATGCCAATATGGGTATGTGAGTGTCGGTGATGAATGATGGAACACTGGAATCTCTCTGGATCAGGGCTGAGAACATAAAGAAAGCTCGGGGATCATTTTTTCCTGAGGAGGTAATAGTAATATTTCATGAACCATTCTTAATATGTTCTTGTGTGAGTATTCCATACCCATTCTGCATTGTCATTTTATCCTGCAGAAGGTCTGCAAATGGCTCACTCAGTTGCTGATAGCTGTGGACTACTTGCACTCTAATCGTGTGCTCCATAGAGATCTTAAGGTATTACATATTCCCTTGTACTGGCAAGGAAGTTCTTTACATGATGTATATGGTAATGTAACTTTATTTTGTTTCAGTGTTCCAACATATTTCTCACCAAAGATAACGACATTCGTCTTGGTATGAATGCATTGTCCTTTGAAAGCTTACCTATTTGGGTTCGATTTAGTGTTGGTCCTAAAGCAACTATGTCTTGTGTGTACTATACAGGTGACTTTGGTCTGGCAAAGCTGCTTAACACGGAAGACCTTGCTTCCTCGGTTTGTGCATATCTTTGACATACTGTTGTTGTTTTCTGATGCCCTGTTGAGAAACTTAGTTCTATTATTGGTAACAGACATCCATACTTAGTGGTGGGTGCTTTCCATTTCAGTATCAATAACGTTTCATATGCATGCGTATCTTGCTCTGAACTTATCGCTGATGTTAGTGACACTTCAATTAGATCCGCTCATCATGCCTTATTTGTGTAGGTTGTTGGAACTCCGAACTATATGTGTCCTGAGCTACTTGCAGATATACCCTATGGTTATAAATCTGATATATGGTCACTTGGTAAGAACTGTGCATTACTGATACTTGTCATTGAAAAAACCATTTGGTACATGACCTATTGCAATAATGAGACCTCTTTTATCTGTAGGATGCTGCATGTTTGAAATTGCAGCACATCAACCAGCATTTCGTGCTCCTGTAAGAACCAACTTGAACCATTGTGTTTGTTATCATTACAAGCTATTTTGTCTCCAATTTTTCATTATGCATATATGAGATAAAATTGATGAAAAAACATGGATGTAACAGGATATGGCTGGGCTTATCAATAAAATAAATAGGTCCTCCATTTCTCCATTGCCTATTGTTTATTCTTCCACCTTGTAAGTAACTGCTTTAAGACCATTGCCAGTCACAAAGCTTTCAGGCTTTTCTTCTCCCTTGATCTTTTGATCATTGGTTTATTTATCGTTTTTTCCTCAAAATGAATACTCCTATGTCTAAAGCAACCAAAATGTACCTCTAGATTTGTGCTTCCAGCTGCGTAACTTTCTGCCTTTCATGTAAATGTTGATATTGAAACAAGATGACTATGCAACAGGAAACAACTCATAAAGAGCATGCTCAGGAAAAACCCTGAACATAGACCGACAGTGAGTTCAATTCAACCTGTGATGTTATTTCAGATTAATCTGGATAGAAGTGTTAATTATGCAGCATCTATTTGTTGACAGGCAGCTGAGTTGTTAAGGCACCCTCTTTTACAACCATATGTTCTCCGATGTCGTAATGCATCATCTAATGTTCTTCCAGTGTATCCCATAGTCAATTCAAAGGATAAAACAAAGAGGTCTTATAAATCTGGTGGCAGAAAAGAACGTAAGGACAAAGAATTGGGATTACAAAATCTTTTGATTAGGATTCATCCATTTCAGGGAAATGAAGATATGCCTAAGAACGGCAAGCAATCAGTCTCAAGCAGTGCAGAAGACATCCTTCAGACCAAGCTGGTTGATCCTACCAGCTTCATAACTGAATCATCTACTAGTATCAGTGGCTCGAAGGATGGATCAACAACATCTGAATCAACCATTTGCAGCATGGGCAAGGAAGCAGACTATAAAAGCATACCTACAAGGGAGACAACTGACAATGAAATTACGTCAGAGGGTATCCCAGTTCCTAAGCATGAAGAACAAGTAGTTGCTGCTGAACAACGAAAATCAGAAGGGGTTGACATGATTGCAGGGACCACGGAAGTTGAGGATGCTTTTCCTAATGGAGATTACGATAAAGCTGAAGTGCGGAGAGATGTCAATCTTGAGGACTTCAGGAAATCAACAGCTTCAAGCGAAGGAAGCACTGATAAAGGTGGGTCTCTTGATGAGGAATTGTCACCACCAGCGTTGCAGCCTAGCAGTAAGGTTGAAGATGACCCTGAATCGGGAGGAGTCTACTTACAGAAGAGGGAAGGCCCAGATGCATTTACAGAAGGCTCCCATATGTGCTTATCTTCTGAGACTAATGATACCGTGGCAGCTAATGATGAAGGCGGAGAAAAGCCACACGACCTGAGTTGCTCCAGGCATAAAGAAAATGATAGTGCTTGTGTGGTTGATCAGACACCAAGTGACAATTCATTGAGTACAATTACTGCAAGAGGGGGTGATGAAGCCAAGAGCGAGTTGGATAGTTCCTGCCAGGAAAGAGCTCATGCTCTAGAGACCCTACTTGAATTATGTGCTGAGCTACTCAAGCAAGACAAACTCGAAGAGCTTGCCGGCGTGCTGAGACCATTTGGGCCGGAAGCCGTCTCTTCCAGAGAGACGGCAATATGGTTGACAAAGAGCCTCATGTCTGCACAAAAACTCAATCCTGAAACCTAATTCGTGAGAGGTGATCTTCATTAATTAATTTATACATTAATGTAAGAGATGTGTATTTTCGGATGTAACACGAGGTTTTTTTTCCCCCTTCAGACTGTTGCTTGATTGGAGAATACTGGAAAAATAAGATTTTACTGATTCCTTTCTACTTCACAGGTTATATTCACACGAAATGAATTAAATCATCATCTAGTAGGTTAATTGATATTCCTTTGTGTAGCTTGAACTGCTAAAATTAAAACAGGGTGAAGGAAATGAAGATACGACGAGAAATCAAAAAAATAAAAATAAATAAATAAATTCGTGTGAAAGCAAATTATAGCAAATTCGACGATGGTCGTCATTGAAATGAAGCTGTATCGTTATTCCTCTCTCTCCTTTCATCCACAGAAAGCCTCCTTCCTTGCCACGCAATTCTGTTCCCAGGTTTAGGCTCTTGCATGTTTGATGAGGTCACTGGAAATACAAAGCAAGGAAAGACAAGAAGGAGGCACCAAAGACGGAGCCAACAACCAGCAAGCCATCCGGGGCTGAGCTGCTTGGGCCGGGAGCGGCGGCCGGAGTAGTGACTGCCATGTCGGCCAATGCAGTGCTCACGGAGGCGGCAGCAATGAGAACAGCGCAAGAAACCTTCATGTTCATGGTGACTGAAAAAGAAGTTCGAGAGACCTCACTTCGCTGGCGATGAAGAAACCGGACCTTTTCTTTCCCCGAGTCTTATGGTTATACGTTGCTCTTGGTTTTAAGGGGGAGGGCTTGAGAATTGCTTTGGAAAAATATCACATTTTTAGGCTGTGAAATGTTCGGAAGCGTGTGGTTTTCCAAGATTTAAGGGTTGCTCAATTATTTGCGTGTCAAGGCACTATTTTTGCTCTTCACCGAAGACCAATTAATGGTTCCTCTAGCGTCCGCGCGGATTCCCTTCTACATTGCCAGCTTATAATTTTCTTTTTATATATGCCTCATTTTTACCGAGATTAACGCATGCTTCTTTTTTTTTAATTGTCAATTTACTCACACACACATCTTCACAACTCCACTCGTGACTCGTTGCTATTAATTTTCAGATTTAAAATGCAATTATTGTTCTATTATCGTAGTTAGGAAGCTCGAGATCTTATGAGTTGCACACTCACACTGCAGTTTTCTGGATCCTTTTTTAAAGATCAATGTATAAAAATAAAACATTAATTGTATGGTTTATAATTGAATACATTTTTTTTAATCGAATACACTGTTTACAAATTATTTGCCATTGCAGAGCCCAACATTGTATGTCGAGATGGGTTTGCTACAAAAAAGAGTCTAACTTGGTGTCGCTGCGCAAATATCGATTCGTGGCCTTGTGGGTGAACTGCGGGTAGGATGATTGATGCTTGTTACGGGCCCCACGAGTTATGGATCAAGCCCAATATTTTTAACAGCCTCTTGCGGCCCAATACGTTGATCGATATTATCTGATTTCAGACTATATCCACGTGGGGACTGATCCCCCAAGAGCATCGAGAACGAAGGGAATACGAATAACCAATAAGTGTTTATCTGGAGTTCTGTTTAAAAAGCACTTTTAAGTACGTTCATGTAAACTAAAACAAAACTCTTATCACATATTTATTTCGTATTCTATAAATCACATTAAAAAACTACTTATAAATCATTCTAAACAAGTCCTAAATTAATGGACACATCACACTTTAAAGCCATCGGATAATTTTTTGTCGTGACGGTGCGGTTATTCTTTTATGGGGAATAAAATACTAGTTATCTTTCAAAAAGACGAAATGCGATAATCAAAACAAATGTATATAATAAAGTTTAAGCAGAGTTTAGCGGTAATAATTTTATCCTTTCATCCAAAAAAGGGGGGTTTGATTTCCCGGTAGTCAATGTCTAAGGATATAATGTAGATTTATCCTCCCTTATATTGGTATCGCTTAAGAGGAACGGTTCAAGTATTCTATCTTTGGTTTGGATTGAGCCGGAATCCTGTCTAAAATTTTTATACAAAAAACAAATACACAGTGGAGGTTAATTAGGAAGCCAAAAGGGCTCTTTTGTGATCAGGAACAGAATAAAACATTCCCGGTAGTTTTAAACTCCTATCTGTTTTGGCTACAGCACACGCGTTTTGAAAATGGTAATTAACTAATACCACTGCAATAATTTCTTTGATTAGATAATTATAAAAAAGAGGAAAATAAAAAATAGCTTCGCCCCCTTAAAAATGAATTATGCTCCTCTCCACGTCCCCAAGGACAACGAATTATGCTCCTGTCAATGAAGTATGTATTTTAAAAATTTGCCGATGTTAATGAATAATAACTTTGATTAAAAAAGTATCCTCGCTTTTATTTTAAATATACATCTTTCAAGGAACATACAGCAGAGGGAGGGAATTTATTTAATCATTGCTTTATTTTTCCTCTTTATTACATGCTGGTATATGTCATTTAATCTTTAAAGTATGTTTATTCAATAAGAATATCGTCATGGATTCATTAAACTTTTAAATAAATTTCAAAATTTTAAGCTTTTTTTAACTAATAATTAGGTGAAATATGTCAAAAGTAACTTATAAATAAAACCGAAATGGCATTACTATGGTCACTATTATAGGCACTTTCTAAAAGAAATGAGTGGTCTTATTACAAGCCACCAAATGAAATATTAATTACATTTTATAAAGATGTTCTATCCAAAATTCGATACAATTTTTCTTCGTAAATTTAGAAGTTATTTTTATCTTCAAACAAATTTAATGACTTGACAGTCCTGAATCAGTTGTAGGTGTGGCTAAAAATGGAGGGAGTATATTGGGAGAAATGGAAGGGCAAAGTTTGGAAGATGGAAAGGAAAGGAATGGGTGCGATCTAAGCAAAGACCAACAGCTAAAGGGAACCAAAAAGACAGACACTGAGAATGGGTGGCTATTTGAGGAAAGAAATCCCACAATTCCCAAATGTGCATTTATGGATGGGCATTAAAGAGGGGAACGTTAATTCCCCAGACATGTCACACAACACACTGAAAACCAGTGATTAATAAATCAGGCAGATGGAGTTAGTAATTAATAGGCGTCCATGATTTTCAAAGAATGAATATTGGGATCACAACACATCAGATTTTGTGGTTGTAGTAAATATGAGTGGGTGTGTGTTTGTGTGTGCAAGTCATTCATTCATTCAGAAAGCAGAAAGACTTAAAGCTGTGAATAATGTGTTAAATCAAGGATCCCTCGTTAGGGCAAAAAGGCATGTCCTCTCTTCATTATGCATCGCCCATTTCTATATGTCCTTCGTACGCCACCACCACATCCTCATAAATTTGACTCGTTCAAAGTCGTCCCCCCACCTAAAACTCCCCAACACATTATGCTTTACGCATCCTTCATTTGATTCTTATATTTTTACCGAATACTGCTATCTTTCGTTCTTAATAAGATCTAATTTTATAGTTCAATACTGATCAGAATTAAGATCCATGATCATTAATATAAGCACGTGCACTGTATGTGTCTTATATGCAGATTCATTCGCAGCTGTCTGCAAAATCGAAACGTGTGAGATTGATATTTCAGAGATTGCATTGAAGGCCAGCTGCCAGAGAGGAGGGTGAGGAATAACACGACCGGGACATATGGGAATGGGGGTTCGCACCAAAAAGATAAAGCCATTGTCGCTTTAAGATGACACCATATCTTAGTATGGTACAAACTTTGTTGATACTGCAATTTTTTTAAAAACATTTTTTTAGTAATTTTAGATGAATACTTATATTTATATAATATTTTGAGAGGTTAAACCCGTAACTTCTTTAGTTTGTCTTCACACCTTGCCCTATATGTACCACTATCCTATAATCCCATCACGAGTACTGTATAATGCATTTCCTTGTGTGAAAAGACAACATATTGTTGCCTCCTTGAAGATCTCATAATTTCTTTCCTCTTCGCTTAGCTGGTGATTTCTGTGATGGCCCTTTGTAACTCTCCCAAAGTTCTAAATTGTTTAGTTCAATGCAGCTGATGTGTGCGCGAGTGCGCGCGCCCAAGGTTTGACGGGGTTTGACCCTCTACTTATATTAGTGCCCTTAATTGTCTTCGTCATATAATAAAATGTGAAATTTTCATAGAAAGCATCGAAGCTAGACATTTCAGAGAGGGAGCCCTGTTCACCTCTATATACCTCTATGGCTCTATCCCCACCCAACAACTGATGATGATTACTACGTGCTAACGGGGATCATTAATTGTAATGATAACTAGTTAATAAGCCCATATATCTATTGATCGATTGAGCTGAGTGACCCAGCTATAGTTAGTGCAATTATTTGCTTCTCCGACCACTAAATAGACATCGTAACTGTCTAATCATGATGGGAAACTTTTCATCTCTTAGGCTATATAATTTCTGGAATTTCCATGCATCATAAGGCCTGAAACTTCGACAGAATCACTCAAAATTGCCCCCTTCTTTAGGCACTTAAAATTTCCAGTTTCCGTCAACATTTAGTTTCAGCCATCCCACTCGATTTCTTCCGCAGGCTTAATTATTCTCGAAATTATGATAAAATTAAATTATACTCAGACTTTGCCAGAAGCAAATGCTTGCATTACTCGTGATCAGTTAATTCAAAGCTTCGTCCTTGCTTGTTCACCAAAAGCATCGTCCAAAGAATTTCGTTCTGCGGTATTGTGAAGTTCCCCCATAACGAAACGTCAAACTATGAGAATGAATTAATAATCATAAAACTTATCATCAATCTGTGTGTGTGTGTGTGTCTTTAACTTATAGCGTACTGCTAGCATACAGGAACGAAATCTTTACATACAGAATTCTTCAAGACTAACAATATCGTACGCTTGCCAATTCTGTGATTTTACATATTTATTTATACAAATTATTCCAACGTATATAATCCGAAAGTAGGGTAGGAATATTTCCCAACGTAAAAAATGGAAAGAAAAGTCACTTTTATTTTGGGTTAGTGCGCAATGTTACTTTGTTATGCTTTTGAACTTTCAATTTCTGCTTTTTTGTTTTTGTTTTATGGTTAGTATCAAGAAAACATGCAGGGATATGATCCT